TCTATGCATACAATATCTAGATTGCATCCAACAGGATAAACGGGACAAAGATAATAAAAGCAAGTTAACTTTAGAGTCATAAAATAGAGGGGGTGCGAGAAGAGTAAAAGTTTACAACTGTTAATCCATTTAACAATATTTAACAGGTTATAAACATGTTAACTCTATGCTGATTATGTGCATTTACACATACATAAATATACTTTTTCTTAGAAACTAATTTTAAACAATTTCACTATAGTATATGTTTACTTAATTATTGAACATTAACGAGTGTAGTTAATTTTTTTCCAAATAAGAAGTTACAGTTTAGTTGACTTAAAAACAAAACTATAAAATTCACTTGGTATTGTTTTGCTCGCATCTTCCCATTGAGTTTTAAGACTGCAAATTGATCAGTCTCTTATTAGCGTATGTGCATACTGTGCGTATGCCTCGATATTGCCTTAATTCACAGGCTTTTATAAGGAAAGATGGATCGTGGCTAGCATTGGAATCCAGGACGCGTCTAATGTGGGACTCGCCAGCTGGATTTACCTGCATCTCGAGTCTCAGAGTGAACGTCAACTCTGAGATACAGGTACATCCAGCTGACGAAAACTATAAAATGTTTCATTGAATTACTTCATTAATGTAGAAAGTGTTGCTACACAAAAAAAAAAAAAAAACGAAAACTAGCATATAAATGAATAATTGTGTTGAGAGTTATGTTTTTTTTTTAAAGTAAACTATATGTCGATTACAAGAAGATGAGATAAAAATAGATTGTAAGGTAGACGGATGATTTCAAGATAAACTGTAAGTAATTGTAAGTAAAATGAAATACGGTTTATTGTACAGTGAATACTATATTGAAAACTACAAGTGATTTTGACAGTTAGATATACTGATGAGGTAGTAACAAGTAGAGTTTACATTGAATATTAGTTTGATAACTAAATTCCATATATAATTTGGTAAAAGCATAGTACACTTGACGACCTTAAGTTAACCGATAACAAGTAAGATAAGGCCTAATTAGTTTACTTCGAAATTTATATAGCATTGATAATATATAACTTGTATTTAATTATTAACAAAGTCGATGTCGGCAATATTTGGTCCTTAAAATGCTTGAAATCAATAAAAGTATCCATTACGCAACCAAAAAGGGAAATTAAGTTGGTGCTTAAGTTAAATTACAAAACATATCTGCTCCGAAAGCAGAATGTGTAATAAAGTACTGGATGTAATTCAATGAGTAGTCACGAGTGCTTCGTGAAGCTAAATAGTACTCTCTTACTCTAATCTTTACTTTCAGTTCCAACCCCAAGATTCTCAAGTTCGTATACAGAAGGGTGATATAGCTTGCATTGTAGCCCGAATTCTTCCGTACATTTTATTTTATTCGATAATCTTTTAAAGGATCTTTCTATTGGTTAATCACCAGAATTAATGTCTTATATGTTGAAGTAGCTTATATTCAACGAAAGAAAAGTGGAAAGGGAAATTAAATTAACATATATCTTTTCTTAATTCCACAGAATTTCCCTTCCCTTTTACTAACATGTCAGCCACATTATCGCTGGTTTTACTACTGAGTTGAATCTTACTGATGAGGAAATTGATATAAGCGCAAATTGATCTTGTTTCACTGGGTAACTATTGGGAATCAAGTAGCACTCTTGAGCCTTTTTGTTATAGTTTTAGACTTGAAGTTAATTTCACCAAAAAAGTTAAATTCAAGGTCGATATTCTAAACTTATCCAATCAGCTATTCATAATAAGATTTGTGATTCACAGAAATTTTTATTTCCAAAATTCAAATTATATATATATATATATATATATATATATATATATATATATATATACAAATTGCTGAACTGATTGCGACAAGGTCATGTGGGAGCCAAGCTTAGGAAGATGAGTACTTAATACACTGATAGTAGCCCGCATACACGTGCATGTTTGATCTATCATATGGCCTTGTCACAGAGTATGATTCGACCATACTTATTAACCAGAGGAAATACTTTGAAATAAAGATTTCTTTTGCAACAAAATTGAGATACCTATGTAAAATCAAGAATTGAATTCTTCATCAACATTGTTTTTGAAAGACTAACGAAGTTGAATTTAATATTTTATTAAAAACTGGATCGTTTGAAGAAATACTCAAAACTAAATAGTATCAAACAATTTTTAGATAGATGTCCAGAATCCTATACTGTTACACTTTATTTGCGATTTACATTATTATTAGTATGGGGTTGCGGGGATTGTTAAGTTTTTGATTGGGATCATGAATCGATGAATGTTAGACCACCATTGAAAACCTGAGAGCATCGAACGGCCGTTTCATTCGAGTATGGGACTCCTCAGCAGTGCACACCCACGATCCCACACGCAGGATCTTAACCCAAGACTTCGGGTCTCGCGTGCGAACGCCTAACCTCTAGACCATTGAGCCGGCATCCAACGGTGCCTAACTTCATCCATCTTCCATTGTCTGAGACTGCACTACTGAGGAGTCTCATGCTCAGATGAAACGGCCTCCCAGTGCTTTCGCGCTTCTAAATGGTGATCTAAAGTCCAGCCATCTACATTGTTGGGATAATCGATATTCGTTATTTTTATTCTTGGCTTACTACTTATAACGTGATAAGTAACTGAATATTATATGTACAAAATGGTAGGTTTCGTCCCTTAAAGCATATGTTCATAGACTAAACTAGTTAGTCAAAAGTTTCTGCAGCTATTTCAATACAGATTTATAGTTAAAGTCCGTGAATGAATTATCAATCCGACCACTTCAGTCAATGGTCATCAGTTTTCAATCATAATCATTTCGCATCATAACAGCCTGATCGTGGCTACTATCTCGACATAGGAGTCTGGCGTTATTTTTCCGACGACCCACTTGAGCTATACTGTCTGAAGTACATGTTACCTTTATTTTGGTCATGTCAGGCATGTTGGCTGAAGTGCTTTAAAACCTCTGACTGTAATAGAATTTGACAGCAGTATGATGTTACGTCAAACGATCAGAATCTGCAGCAACACTTTCTTCCCCCAATAAAAGCACACCTCACCTTGATTCACAGATTTCTGTCTCCTGTGTTAAATCATGAAAAGTACGAAGTTAACTCATCAAGAACTATTGTCAAGAAAGCTTTGGATCACCGGAATATAGCAGTTATCTCTTTGATCCTGTGGTAACTTGATCGAGTCTACAAGGCCATTACTATAAATCTTAGAAGTATCTTTCTACGCTGGTAGTATCCGAAAATTATCAGCTATTCAAACACCTCTATCAACACTCAAAATCACTACCAATAACAGAAGTTAATATAAATTATAGTTAAAGTGAGCCAAACAGATGGTTTGCATAATTTTTCTGGTTAGCGTTTGTTTAGCGACTTAGCTTTCTACGGGATGGGGTCGTTAACCCCATGCCCGACCCTTCTCCTTTACCCGGGATTGGGACCGGTAATAGCCCCAGACGGGCTCCAGGCGGAGCATGGGAAGACAGTTAACATCATACGGAATTCCTATGATGGATTAAACTCCAAATTCATGTACTGATAAATGCTGACAGACTATTTCAAAGTAATGACCAGTGTCAAGCAAAGTTCCTTACTCTCACCCTTTCTCTTTCTCCTGGAGGTCAATTGGATCATGAAGACGTCAACATCTAGGTGGGGGAAGTATGGGATACAACGGACAGCTAGAATGCAGTTGGACGATTTAGATTTCTCAGATGATCTGGCTCTTCTCTCGCACACGCAACATCCGGTTAAAGCGCCGGACATTCGCTTTTGTCCTCTCATTTTCGTAAGCAACACCACCGTCACGAGAAGGCAGTGAGTAGGAATTCCCTGGCAGAGGTTATATACGTGTGGCCATGAGAGAGCATTTCGAGAGGGAGAGAGGACTCTCCTCACTCTCGGCCATACCATGGCATTTGGGGGCTCAGCATCATTAATGAACACGGTGAATCTGATGCGGATGTGAAGGCGTGGATCGGAAAAGCAAGAGCAGCATATCTAAAACTGAAGAATATCTGGAACTCAAAACATCTGTCTGTCAACTAACACCAAAATCAGAATTTTCAATACAAATGTCAAAACAGTTCTACTGTATGGGACGGAAACTTGGACAATTACGAAAGTCATCATCCAGAAGATACAAGTGTTTATTAACATTTGTCTACACAAAATACTTCGGATCCGTTGGTCGGACAATATTATCAACAATCTACTATGGGAGTGAACAAATCAGATCCCAGTGGAGGAATAAATCAGGAAGAAACATTGGAAGTGGATAGGACACACATTGATGAAAGCACTCAACTGTGTCACAAGACAAGCCCTCACATGGAACTCTCAAAGCCAAATGGAGAAGGAGAGGGAGACCAAAGAACACATTACTTCGAGAAATGGAGATAGACATGAGAAGAATGAACAAGAATTGGATGTAACTAGAAAGGAAGTTTTAGGACATAGTGGGTTGGAGTACACTGGTCGACGGCCTATGCTCCGTTGGGAGTAACAGTCGTAAGTAAGTAAGTAAGTAACTCAGATTATTTATATTTTAATTCAACTAAACAATTATGAATAATGATAACTTTATGTTAGAAATTTATAATCATAATTTATTAGAGAAAAAATATATATTACATAATCAGAATATCTGATTACAGAACTGTTAATCAATATCCAATTTACTTTGTTTCATATAATCCATTAATTTTAAATTTAAAAAAAATAAAAAATTAAAAAAACAAAATATTGATTCAACATCCCTTTGATCCAATTTTTTTTGTAAACTCTATAGGTTACATTAAAAAGAAGAATCCTATTCATAGTTGATTAAATGATCTTGTATAGAACTAATACTTGTTTTATATTCTCTCTTTTTCTATACAAATTATAAACATACATTCATTATATATATATATATATATATATATATATATATATATATATATATATTCCTTCTATTATCTTTAATTATAGGTCAATATTCGAATAATGAAACACGTAATTATATCATTTTAGTAAGTTAAAAGAACAGTGATTTATATGAACTTTATTGAAAAAACTTTAATTGTTATGGATAATAATAGTTTTTTTGTTTCTTCGCTTGAAAGTTTACCATGGGTAGTAGTGAAATCCAGGATACAAGTTTCGTTCTATTTAGGGGACTTGTTAGTTAGATACATGTGAATGTTAGATTGAACATTAACTCTTAAAAGTAGGTGTATCCGGTTGACGAGTTAAAAAAAAAAAAAATCAGTTGAAGACTCAATTCCTTGATTCTATTGTTAACCACTATTCATCTCGGATTAGAATTTTTTTTGGCTTATAATTCTAGTCTGTTTGTTATTAAGGTGATCTAAAACTTTGGATGAATCATATGTACATAGCTTTTGATTTTGTTTTTGACGCTTTGGTCAGACTATAATTTATGGATGACTTTTATACGATGCTAAAATCACCTTGAGGAGATTCACCAACCTACTAGGATCAAAAGAGATTACAAATTAGGATTAGGGTTTAGATATGAATAAAAATTGAATTTTAAAGGTTTTCATGATAAACTGACATCAGCTATAATGCCAAGATCATATTTAGCCATTTGAATGGATGAATTTTGCGTCAAAATCCAATACTTGCTGTTTTATATCTCATTTGTTCGTCCATAAATTACAGTCCTGCCAGTGCGGACTGTTTAACTCAATGTGAAATTGAATTGTTCTAATTACTTTATAACTGAAATTTGTTCATTAGGTTAATTTATGACCTTATAATATTCTGTTTTTTCTTCAGGCATTCATTATAATAGGTTTATTGATATGGCTTATAAGTGTTCTTATCATTGGTTTCGTGTGTTATCGCCGTCGACACAACCGTAAAGTATCTGTTCGTAAAAGGTTAGTAATGTTTTTAGAAATTGATTTATTTAGTCAGGGAGATGGAAGTATCTGCTTGCCACCTTTTTTTAAAGGTTTTATGCAAACGCTTCATTTATAAACTGCTGTGGTTAGTTTTAATACTTTACATGTTTAACCATAATATATTTTGTGTGATACAGTGACTTATATCTATTTTAATATTTGAGATCATGAGTCAATTAAAACTAGACCACCATGGAAAACCTGGAGGCACCTGAGAAGTAGTGACCAGTGGAGTTCAACTGGGTCTGTTATGAAATATTAACTCACTGAAAACAATAGTGGATGTTTTGCATAATTTCGTGGATTGGTTGGAGATAAACATTAACACCGTTGAACTCCGGCTCAGTGATCTAGATGATAAGCGTTCATGAGCGATACTGATAGGTTTTGGGTTTGAATCTCGTAAGGCTGGATCGTAGATGCGCATTGCAGAGGATTCTCACAGTTGGACGAGATGGCCGTCCAGTGTTTCCAGGTCTTCCATTGTGGTTTAGCTTCAATTGACTCATGATCTCAACTATTAAAATTACTATAATTTCCACAACCATTTCTGATATTATATCTATTTATCATACTTTTGACTATCACCAAACTTTTATCTTCCGTCTATATTTTTTTACTTATAATGCATGGGTACTTACAAATAACCTTAAAATTAATAAATTTTGGACTTTTGTTAAAATGAAAGACAAATAGTTATGTTCGGAGGTAGTCCGAGTTTGCGACTGATATATACTTGAACCTAACTAGCTACTTGAGGGAAAAAATACCAGGAGCTGTCAGGATGCTTTTATTGGGTAAGCCAAATTGAAATTATATACACAACCCATTCATCGATAGAGATACATATTCCTTAAAATCGTAAGCCACTATTCTGGCTAATAGTATATGTCTATTTCACCCGAAAGTTAGGCCAATTCTTAACTAATAGCTTGTACCTGTCACCCTAAGTATCACAAGTTTCCAAAAAGTCTATTTTAATCAAACGCTTAGCTATTCTGCAGTCCAAATATTCTGACATTAAGCAAATTGTAGAATAACACGGAAAATAGCATTTCTAATAATCAGTATTTAGTTCGAAGTCTTTAAACATTTACATTCCATTGTTAATGTCTTGATAAGAGGCTGGATGACTTCATCACTTGAGAAGTATCAAACATTTTTAGGTATCCAAGATTATTGGCGGATCCCGGACTCAAGTGTAATTGCAAAAAGACGCGAAATAAGAATAGGATCTGGAATATTTTCAAACCAACAGAAACTTGACTGAGCAATCAGGTATCAACAGATAGATGAAAAAACAAGGACTACCTTTTTTTCGAGCACTTTATTAAACATTCTATTCACTGATACTTGACAACTAATCATAAATTCATATTCTGTTTTAACTTTCATTGAAAGCCATTGAATGATATATTTTATAAGACAGCCAGGAATAACCAATCTCTATTTCAGTTATTACAGATCAATACAATAACAGTTTGTCCTCTTGATCTGATATACAACACTATTAGATAGTCAAGAAAATTAAAAAGAAACCACCAATCAAAGTTAGTTTACCATTATACTATCGTCCAATGATAACTATTTATCGTCAAAATTAAACAGAATATTAATCATACTAAGATATAATTTTCTTACAAAGATACACCCACTCAAATGGTGTATTTTTCCCAATGAGAAGCGTCTTTGGAGACATTATAAGTGCTGTTTAGTTGAGGAAATGTTCATGTATTTTGAAAACAGGAATCGATTGTTTCGCCAACAACAAAATTTAAATACCGATCTTTCCAAGACTATTTTTATCATTATTATTTAGGCTACTTGTGAGTAGTATGTAAGATTTTCACAACTTCATGACAAAACCCATCGATTTCGTTTCAATTGAAGGAATAGAGTTGTTAGTTCTTATGATTGAGATAAGAAAAATCAAGTTATATATTATCAAAAACTTTCATCGGTGATGGAACAAAATGAATAATATATTTTATGTCATTGAGGCTTTTCATTTGGTAAAAAAATGAAGTATCTTTTAATTACCGCTTGTGTCTTAGACAAAATGTCTGTTCACGAAGAAATGAATATATCACTCACCAGTCCATTCTGTATGGCTATATAACCGTGGAACATGGTCTTTGGAAGTAGAAAACGTATATGAACTGTGGGTGTATGATCTTAACTATTTCCAAAGCATTCCGTGTATATAATAGATCAACTATCTAATCCTTAGGTTAAATAAAATGCAATACGCTAAGAGGGGTAGATTTGCAGTGAACGAATAAGCCAAGTGGAGATGACCAATTTATTGCTTACCGCATAACCATATAGTGGTTTAATGAAATGTGAAAATCATACATCACATGCATCATTCGTATATCTTCTTTGAATTGTCTCTTACAAACTTCATTGTTTCTTCATTCACGTTGTTATCCTGACTGCTTTCAGTTTCCTTTTCTCTTCTCTTCATTTCCATCTTCTAAACCTAATGTCCACAGATATTCCACTTCCAATTGGTGCTACATACTACTTTTATCTGCAAACATAAATAGTATACACGACAGATTCATTTAGGAAACAGTAAACTTTCATCGACCAAGGTAGTTGGGATATATGCTACGATTGCTTGACGTTTAATATTGGTTGACATATAATTATGAAGAAAGATCTAGAGGTGGATAGGTCAAGGTATGGTAGTATTCTATGAAGGCATTGACTCTTGGTGTGAGTCATGTCCCTAAGTGTAGACTACCTGGTAATTCTTGTAATCAAGAGTTATATTGTCAATTGTGTACTGTATTTTACATATCGAGATTTACATTTTAGCTGATATTAATTTTTTCGTAACACATTGTCTTTTTTATTTGCTTTTTGTTTGGTAATATAAAGATAAACAACTTGGATTGATAAACAATAGTCCCAGATCCGATGTTGACTAGCTGACTTAAAAATCTACTCAAGACTATATTTCCGTTCTGTATTTATTGCGTATAACACTAAGTATAGTTAACTTTTGCGATCATATAATGTATCGACTTCAAAGAAGATATACCCATACTTTGAGGATTTTTGAAACCGTACAGAAAATTATAATAAAAAGAAATCTCTCAATTGCTTAGTGAAATGACAATGATATTAAATTTACACAGAGTGTACTATGATAACACATATGCATCAGAATGATGACTGTTTTAGACTAATTTAATAAGTCATGATTAACAGTTTAACTAATACCTTTCAAAGGCAGGTAAGGTAAGGTTGGTGAACTGGCCAACAGAAACAATAGAAAGTGTGTTTCATTTACATGGTAGATTACCCAAAATGGCGTATACTTTCAGCTCATGAACTCTGGGAAACTAACGACTTTGTCGTAAAATACTGAAAATTCATTCAATGTGTGGTGAACAAGAACACAAGGGTGGGGAGGGGACAGAACATCTTAGTAAAACCTGAGAACCATACGGTAAATACTTAATTTACAAAATGTTAATCAGCTATCTCAAACTTGACTGTTCCTTTTGCCAATATCGATCAATCGTCTCAGACTTCATTGTTCCTTTATTTCCATACCAAACATTCTCTGTTCTCGTTCTCTTTTATTCGATCTTCTTAACCTACTGCTGCTAGGTATTTCACTTCCAATTGATGTCACATACTAATTATATCTATCGACATCAGTATCACACACCATAAATAGTTTGTTTTAGAGTATTATTCATCGCTAGAATTATTTCACTTTAACAGCTTATCTTGTCAAGAATTCAGAAATAATATATTTTAAATGTTAGTTTAAAAAAAGATAAATTTTTTCGTATCAACCTGTTGAAAACTTAGAAACACTTTGTTCAAAGGTTTAGCAAGACCACTGTTCAAAGATAGAGATGTACTTAATTTACAAACTTTTCAGTATCTGGATTCTCTACTATTATCTATATCTGCTCTGAACCTCATTGAATCCAAATTGCTCGTAGTCGTTTTTGATTGAGATCATGAACCGGTTGATGTTAGATCACTGTTGTAAATCTGGAAGCACTTGACGGCCGTTTCGTCCTATTGTGGGACTCCTTAGCAGTGCGCATCCACGATCCCGCTCGAGGGATTCGAACCCATGGCCTTCAGCTTCGCGCGCGAACGCTTAACCTGCTAAACTATTGAGGTAGAATCCAATGGCGTTATTGTCTAACTCCAAACAATCCACGAAATTGCGCGACCATCTTCCAGTGTACTGAGGTAGATACCTGTTTCTAACTGATACGGACTAGCTCTCCTGGTAATTGTGTTGAATAGATTAATGTTCTGTATATTATTCAAGTTCTCTGCATTTTGATGTGTATCGTATATCTGGTAGAATATGATTTCAATCTGTCAAGAGTGTATCGACCAAGTATCTATTCTAATGGTAATATAATCTCTTACCCGGTTGTATGATGGTATGATAGTAAAATATTATGACAAACGAGAACATTTTTAACCTAGTTCTATCCCATTTATAAAACGAAATATATGCATATCAGTCACCATTTGTTTTAAGTTCTTAATATCGATCCGATAATCTCTATTTAGTTTATAATTTTGTCTTTAAACTTATATATTCAGTATCCACTTTCTGGACTTTCTACTGATTATCCCTAACAACTAAACATTCCTTAACTTACTTAATACTGACATACAATTTGAAGTAAACTAACATAATAGGATGAAACGGCCGTCTAGTGCTTCCAGGTTTCCCAATGGTGATCTAACATCAATCAGTTCATGATCTCAATCAATAACATATTTTTAGACAAACAAATTACGTACTTACGCTTGTTACTGCCAATGGAGCGTAAGCCACCGACCAGCATTCTCCAACCTACTTTGTCCTAGGCTTTCCTTTCTAGTGCTATAAAATTGCCATTCATTCTTCCCATATCTGTCCCCATTTCTCGGCGTAATGTGTTCTTTGGTTTTTCTGTTTTCCTTTAACCTTAAGGATTCCATGTGAGGGCTTGTCTTGTGACATAGTTGGGTATTTCCCTCAATGTGTGTCCTATCCACTCCCAACGTTTCTTCCTGATTTCTTCCTCCGCTGAGATGAAGTGCTGGAAATGGATAGAACACCCATTGAGGAAAGTACCCAACTGCATCACAAGTCATGAATTACATTCAAACCAATCATTTTTTGAATAGTTGAAATCATGAGTCAATTGAAGCTAGACCACCATGGAAAACCTGGAAGCACTGGACGGCCGTTTCGTTCTAGTATGGGACTCCTCAGCAGTGCTCATCCACGACCACATCCCCCAGCGAGATTCGAACCCAGGACCTGTCAGTCTCAATTGACTCATGATTTTAACTATTTCTAAAATATCCACAAAACCCCTTTTGCTCACTAGTGACCGACTTCAAGAGGCATTTTTTGAAGTTCTAGTGAGAAGCCGTTACCAGTAAAGTTCAACCAGGTCTGTTGTGAGATATCAGCTCACTGGTGTACTGTGGCACACTTTCGTGGATTGGTTGAAATTAGACATTAACACCGTTGGATGTCTAGTGGTTAAGTGCTCGCGCGCGAGACCGATAGGTCCTTGATTCAAATCTCGCGAGGGGGGTGGCGGGATCGTGGTTGCGCACTGCTGAGGAGTCCCATACTATGACAAAATGGCCGTCCAGTACTTCCAGGTTTTTCATAGTGATCTAGCTTCAATTGACTCATGATTTCAAGTATTGAAATTTCTAAAATCTCTACAAAACTCCTTTTGATAAAAAATCGTTTTTTTTTTGTTGTTGTTTATTTACAGTGCTTTATGGACAAATATTAATTATGAACCAAATGTATATCAAAAAAAATTTTCATCACCAACAGAATCATTTATAAAACAACAATATGATCATGAAAATTCACAAAATAATATAAAATTAATTACAAATAATCAAATAAATGATCCTTCATTAAAAATAATTACACCTAAAAGTGTTTTAAGAAATTCATCTACTTTACCAAAACTTCCAATAAATGAACATAATCAACGTAGATCAGTACGTTATATACGTACACCAAATGAATTATCTAAATTAAATTTTGGTACTATATCACATACACCAATAACTAGTCCATCACTTTCAATATATACACAACAAACAAATTTATCACCAACTGATAGTTGTCAACCAATATGTGATACATATGAAGAATTAACATGTTGTATAAATGATCATTTAAATTGGAAACATAATAATAATAATTTATCAATAGCGCCTAAATTAACAACTTTTCAATGACAAATATTCAATTCATTCAATGCTTATATGTTATATACAAAACAATATTCAATTTATCATTCTTATCTTTATTCAAAATATATGTCAGATATAAGAAATAAGTAGAAGAAATATATATATATATGTATGTATGTATTTATATTGTAGTGGCTTTGCTTCGTTAATTGATCACCTACACTAACTATTATAATATAAATCTTAATGATGTTTAAAATCAGAAAGCAATGTAAAGCGGCATCCTTCAGCAACTTGCTTTCTGTGCGAATGTAATGAGTATAGGTAGTCTGAGAAGGGATAAAATTACTCTTCCATACTTTTTGGAACTCTTTTAATGCGCTATCAAAGTCATACCAGCATGCGAAACGCTTGTTCAGTATCATACTTTGAAAGGCATTGCTAAGGTCGACTGAAATGTCACTGGAGCATGAAGCACTACAAGCAGAAATCATTATTTATAAAAAAAATAATTCCTTGAAACAATAATAACCCAAGGAAGTACTACAAATATTTAAGATTTACCGGTGACTTGACATTTTGTTGAGGTTTACTACAGCAGTTGGGATCACAGATCAAATTACGAAGAAGCAACAACAGAGCCAACATGTACACTACAAAACAGAGAACACTAAATTAATGTTTTTGGTAGTTATTTTGTACTTTTTAATGCAGTAAAAGATGACTTAAATATGAAAAAACTTGATACTCATGCAATCCAACAAACTCACGGCAATTGAAATACGGAATGACCGCCTCTTGTCAGGCCGTTCAAGGCCGTTGAAACGAAAGCGCGGGATCTAGTGATCATAATGGTACAAAGAAATATGGGAATTATTACTATTCAAATGACATTGTCTGTTAAATAAATTAATAAAAGAGATTAACCAAAACTAACCATAATCAAAATTGGTTGTAGGATAGTTGTTATAATATAATCAGTTAGGGAATACCTATCATAATGTTTTACTCAAGAAAACTTGAATTTTTCACTCACTTTATTGTAGAAAAGGAAGAAAAGATATCTTCCTTTCATACTCTATATCCTGAATTATAACTTTTAATCTTTAATGATATAATAATAAAAGTGACTCTGAGGATGGACACCTACTGATTAGGACTAAATAAGGGTTATAAAGCAGTTAGAATTCTTATTTACAGTTGAGGGTTAGGGTTAAAAAGTAGATTCACGGTTTTCATCACGAACTGACATCAGCTATAATGCCAAAACTCTATTTAGCCAAATTTATGGATGAATTTCGTGCCAAAATTCGTGACTCGTTATCTTATATCTGATTGGTTCATCTATAAATTATAGTCTCGCTGAAATATTTATTCAACTGTGATGTAACAATGGGAGCTCCATATACACCAAGGATGAATATTTCTAGCCATTTATATTGACAAGATAAGATCAGTTGAATGAGTATATTTGAATTCTGTATGCGCGTTTCACAGATGAAGCATACATTGATGGAATGAGATTCTTGAGTCATAGCTAAGAAAGCTTGTTGTTCTATATGACAAAATGTTCCAGCATGTAATTTGAAGCTTGGTTTCAAGAGAACATTAATAACGTGTCATGAACTAAAATCATTAGCATTGGTGGCACGTGGTGATATAGATATGAGATGAGAGTTCTTAGTACTGATAAGAGAACTATTAAGTTGCAAGAAAGGAATTTAACCGTGAACAAGATGATATCGGGTTCTGTTAGAAGTATGAAAGTGGTTGTCACTTCCCAGCTGCCTCCCACTATGGAGGGATATTTTTCCTTGAGGGGCCTGAAAAGGAAGTTGGGCTAATGATGATCTTACTGACCTGGCAAAATGATCTCAGAATTCAATTTACAACTGGTTAACGTCGATTGCTCATGGCCTTCTCGCTGCAATTTTTTGATGTATTAGCTTCACACTTCAAAAAGCCTTACCACCTGAGATGAAAATCCGTAGGAAAAGGTGAAGTGTGTGATGTTTAGGGTGAAAATTTCGCAACCCCTTTCTCCTTTACCGAGTAGGTAGCATCTCTGATGTCACATCGCTCTACAGTCAACAGTAGGAGTTCGCCCTTGGACCTTGTATTGGTGTTTTTGGTCTAACCGTTCTCTTACCAACCTGCCTGGTATAGTAGGACCCAAAGGAACATGTTTTGCAACGAATATAACTAGGCTGAATTGCCACGACAGACAAACTTGATGACCACATCAAGATAACAGCTACGATCGGGCGCAATCAACCACTAACTATTTATATCAAATACTCATTAGCTTATATAAATGAATTATCAGACTGCACAGCGCACCAAATACGAAACCATGGTTTAAACGAAATCGTGCAGTAAGAGGCACAAAACGAATCAAGCAGTACATAATTATTTATCAATAATTAAGATTTGAAGACAATTAGTAAGTCAACTGGAAGCTTACAATAATGGAAATACAGAAATACAGTAATATGGTTATCTACTAACTGGACAATAAAAATATAATAATCCTCAAATTAGTCCCGAGGGCCAAAATTTGTTAAATACTCGTTCCACTACAACAAAAGATATTATCTACACATCTGTACTCAAGGAGAAAATATATATTCCTTAAGGAACTGAGAAGATTTCTCAGTGGTTCTTGGTTCATGAGTAAAATTACAATTCTTAATTGAATAACTAAACTAATGCATAGCGTAAAGTTTTCTTTAGAATAACTAACTTTAGTTACGTTGTCCTGCAATCGTTTTGAGTAAAAGACAAATTTATGCCAGTTTTTGTTTGTCTGTTGTTGTAGAACTGCTCTGATTGAATTTACTGTGATACTTTTTGGAACTTTCGTGTCATGATGTTAGGATCATTGTTTTCGAGTTCACTTTCTTACCTTTTTATTAAGTTGATTTCAGCATCATTGTTCAATACGTTTTATTTTTATGTTCCCTTGTAATTATCATATAGGACAGTAATCGATAATAAAGTATTATAGTTGTCTAATTAGAACTCAAAAAGTTATGAACCTTACTAATCTAAACATAAAGGAAACAAAGAAAATCTTAGTAACTGATTTTTCATATTGACTACAAATGGAAACAAAAAGAATCTAGATCAAATTATTATTTATTATCCAAAAGTACTCACCAAGTGTGTTTTTAAGAATTCATTGTAAACAATTGTTAAATAATTACTGATCTATTTATTTCGGAGCATTATTTATAGCTTTCATAGTCAGATGAAATCAGATTGGACAGTTGAGTTATGCTGAAGATAAGTTACTATTGAGAAGAATGCAACAGATTTATTCTATTTTTCATAACTTTCAATAATATAATGTTGCTTTCAGTAGTTTGTTGTTGCAAGTGTATTATGGAATTATTCAACCTTTGAAAGAGAAACATATTTGAATATTCAGTGTGGAGTGTAATTCTTCTAATATAGTCGCCGTATTTCTCTCTAATTATTCTTGAAAATTCAAAACCATCCTTTTTTTCATTCTCAATGTGAATGTGTTCTTCTAGGCGACAGTTTATAACATTTTCCTCAAGTTTATACTCCTGAAATCATGAAAAATTTCAACTAACTCCCATACTACCTATTTTAGTCAGGAATTTCGTGGATTAGACTAGTTGAACAAGGACAGTAACCCTCAATAAAATCTTGTGCTTAAAGTGTTTCATCCTACTTACAACTTGTAAGTAGGTCTTTACCTAGTCAACAATTTAGTAGGGCCAAACAATGTGTAGTGTTGTCAAATTGTGTCGAAAACGTAGAACTATGCAATAATCGATCGTATGTCTCATTAATTTTCTACATTATGCTTCACTAAGACCGTAGCTCATTATAATAGGGTTAATCTAATTGTACCCTATCAACCTTAATTCTGACCGTTGACGTGAAAACGACCCGTATCAACAGCCCAGTTACCATGGGATAAACTTATCTACTTGCTATTCAGAAGTATCAAACTTCAACTGCCCATTTACTATATATATACATTGGGGTCACTGAGTGTATATCCTAGTCTCCAAAACACTATAAAATATTTGTAACTTTCTCCTAACACCAAAAGACAGATGAAAATGTCTGAACATGTACCTAAATGGTTACAATAATAAATTAAATAAAATGATCCATTAAGAGTAGATAATAAACCTCCATCGTCTTCTACTGCTAAACATATAGTTGGAACAGGTCATAAACTTGATCTTAACCCAGATTTTGTGGTGTTATACAAAAGTGTTAAAGGGCATATACTAAGATTTATTGAAGCTGTGGCCATACGAAAATCGAAACCCCTTTTATGTATTCAAAAACAGTTTGTTCTCACCTTAAACCTACCCTGGTAATATGTTTATTATCCACTGTGTTGAGTTTTACATTATTTACCTTATTATCTTTGCTTCCTTTTACTTTCCATTTGTCTAGTTGAATTTTTATTTTTATGTATAAATGTTCATAAAAGTATGTGTGATCCGGTTGATCGAAATGTACTCGGCTAATATATCATACATATAATTCTTCGTCTTGTTTTCACACTATCCAAAGTTATCAAAGGGACTAATTGCTTTACAATCAGTTTACACTTACTAGTCGTAAATCTATTGAGTATCGAACTGCAAATAAACAACAACAATTAGCTCACTGAAGACAATGGTGTACAATGGCGCAACTTCGTGGATTGGTTGAAGTTAGATTTTAACACCGTTGGATACCGGCTCAGTGGTCTAGTTGGTTAAGCGCCTGGTGCGAAACTGATAGGTCCTGGGTTCGAATCTCGCGAGGAGCAGGGCCATGGATGCGCACTGCTGAGGAGCACCGTACTAGGACGAAACGGCCGTCTAGCGCTTCTGGGTTTTCCATGGTGGTCTAGCTTCAATGGATTCATGATTTCAACCAGTGAAATTTCTAAAATCTCCACACAATCCCTTCTGATAAAGATAAATTTATACCAAGTTCCAATTTCCGTGGAAAGTGGTTATAAATTAATGAAAATAACTTGTAGATTTAGTTCTTTGTATGTAAACGATGCCACACCTAAAAAAAATTGCGTGTAGTTATTGTAGTGTCTCTTTTTAAACTATACACCCATTTGTTTTTGTTTGTAAAAAGCCATAATTATTAAATGATTTATCCCAATTCAATCAAGCATTTCGTGACCTTTTACTCACCTTTATTTTCATGAGTTATTTCTAACCCTTTAAATTATATTGTCCACTTTCCATAAAGATGCATGTGTATGTTTTACCTGAATGTATCTATCTTCTTGTGATTAATCCATTGTCTGTTTTTTTCCCATAAAGTGATTCATCCTAGGTTGAACAGAGTGGTAAACACCTCTCCGATCCGCATCTAT